GCTTTTTGGTTTGGGTTTTTGTTTAGTTCGGTTTTTTGTTTGTTTGTTTGTTTTATTTATCTTTTTCCTTCTGCTTATTTTTCTTCTGTTCACCTGAGATGGACGCAGAGATTGCAGCTGCTGGCTTTCCCCTCCAGCTTTTCTTGTGCTGAGGGCATCTGCTTTTCCGCAGTGCCAGCCTGTTTTCTCCATAAAGCTCTCCTGGAAGAGGAGCAGAGGTTGTCACAGGTCCATGTCCCCCAGCCAGCTGCATTTAGCCAGGCGGTTTCCTGTCCCGACCGGCAGCTTTCCCGTATTTACTCCTGTTGCAAGGCAGGAACCAGCACTGTCCTGATTTATTCTGCAGGGTTTTACTTGCTTGTGAACTGTGCCTCAGCGGCAGATATCGATTGAGCTTTATCTCCTCCTCCTGAACATCATTAAAATACATTTGCGTGAAAAAATAATAGTAGCTGGCTTAAAAAAAATGTTGGTTTTATTGGGGGAAAAGTGCCAAGGTTATATCGTATGTCCATAAACGGAATTGCTTTTGTTTCAAACACAGTAAAATAAAACATGATCTTTCCATGAGTGAAATAATCATGCCAGCTATTTATGTTTGTTTTATCATGCAGAATATTAAGTGTGTTAGACTTCAAATGGCCCAGCTGAAAAATTTGCATTAGTGGGTGGACCAGAGCAGTAAAAGTATAAAAAGAGAAAATAATGAAAAGTGAAAAAAAAAAAAGAAAAAAAAAAGAAAAAAAAAGAGAGAGAAAGAAGAACGTTTGAAGAAACAGAGTTGCAGATGTTTTTACAGGAATGACATTAAAGAGAAAATCTGCTTGGAGACAGTAAGTGACATTTTGTAACCTTTGGGGGTTTTTGTAAAATTCTCACAAGCAAGTTGTTTGATGATACCATCATGTGGATAGCAAAAACTCTGTATTTTTAATTTCTTTTAATAAAACTGTGTCTATGTAAGTTTACTATGTTAAATAAGCATCTTAGCCACTATTATGGCTTAATCCCAGCAAGCAACTCATCAGCATTATTGTACTAATTCCAAAACACAGCACTCTATCAGCTGAGAAGAAAATTTACTCCGTCCCAGCCAAAACCAGCACAACTACAATTATAATTTCTTAGTAATAATATTTGAGAATAAATTTCTAATAAATCATAATTATAAAAGAAAAACACATTGCATAACTATATTAATATTATACTTGATATATTGGTAAATATAATTTAAATTATAATTGGTGTGAGAATAAATTTCTAATAAATCATAATTATAAAAGAAAAACACATTAACTAAAAATATTAACTATATTAATATTATCCTTGATATATTGCTAAATACAATTTAAATTATAATTGGTAATAATTTGTAATGTCTTAGCACTAAGTAACAAGATGTTAACTATTTAAATATTAGGACATGGTGGAATTAAGGTTGTTGCTGTCAGTTTTTGGACACCATTGCAAGTGCTTTGTAGTTTTACCTTAGTGAAAGTTTGTCCTGCATGGTCCTTACTTAGGAGGACAAAATGGTAATGCAACAAATGTTTTAAGAGGAGCCAGAGTTGTTAAAATATGAGGTGGTTGGTTGTGAAGTTTAACATATATGTGAGCTGAGGTTTGGTAAAATGAGGGTTTGCATTAAATCATATCAGCTCTTTTTAAGTACAGGGAGAGCTGAGGAATTCTGCAGAGAGGAGAGGTTAGAAACTATCCAGTGGTACATGCTGTGAAAGGAAAAGGAATAGAAAGATTTAACAGCTGGGATGGAGAGCAGGGAGTAAGTATTTAGCCTGGACATACTTCTGTCACCTCCAGCTGTGCTGACTGTAGTTTATTTTTGAGTAAAATACAGCATAGCCCAATGGGAAATTTCCAATCCTTTTATAGAATGGACAACTTTACAGTAAATTGACTTCAATCGTGTTTGCTATTAAAATGTTTTAAGAGGTGTGTTCCTGTGTGCAGCTGTATTTGCTTCATCTTAACTGTGTCATTGCAGAGAATGTTTCATCAGGAACTGCTGGATTTTGGGCTATTTTTCACATTTTGTTGCCCATATTTTTTTAAGAAGTAATGACTATCTCAATCTCAGCTAAGGAAAGGTGGTAACAGCCATGTGATTAATGAATAGAAAAAATATACAGAATTTCAATCTACCTTAATGAAAGAAACTGAGCAGCTGAATTTGAGTTTTATTAACTGGTATGAAATGTTTTCAGATTTGCATAACCTAATTTATGGGTTTAAATGCAAGACATGTACTAATGAGGCCTCAAAAACATTGATGAAATCAGCTAAAATCAAAAGTGCTTTAAGAAATTGGCAGTTCTTCTTGGGACTGCTTGTCCTAGCACATATCCTCCAAAGTATTGGGAGTTTTGAGAACCACAGGTATAAAATTGTAGTCCTTCAAGGTATATGGCACTTGGCCATTTATTTTACATCACTGTGTATCCTGTTGTCCTGTGCTAAAAAAATTTTTAAGACATGAAGGAGAGAAAGGTAAAGAAAGAAAGGAGAGAAAGAAATGTAGGTTGATTCATTTCCAGGCCTACATATTCAAAGGCAGGCTATGCAAGCCTCTGTCTGTCAGCAGGCAGCTTTGGTAATAATCTGGTTACAATCCTATCAAATCTGTTCTAACGACCTATCTATTTTATTATGTTTATCAATAATTTTTAAGTAGGGGTAGCAAAATAGTAATGTCAGAGAATGTTTGCATTAAAAAAGCATGTGAATTGGTCAGAAGGAATGGAGGATGCATGGTTGGTTTCCTCCATAGAGCTCTATAAGTGAAACACAAGAAAAATTCAGTCTTCCAAGTATTTTCAGAAGACAGAATAAATCTAAATTGTTTTTATTTATTAAGCTTACAGAACTTTGTAAAAAGAAAGTGATATCTATTTAAAGCAAAATGAAAACATGAAGCTAGTTTGTACACTGCATCCTCTTTATAAAAGCCTTATAGCAGTATATCAAAAATTATTTTAATGGTAGAAGGCATGATATATATTTTGGAAAAAAAACCAAAAAAGTGCTTTCTCCTTCAAGACAGAGAACATGGAAAAAGGTCAGCCATTTTAAATTAATCATAAAACCTGAGATTATTGAGGACCTATAAATGTTTCTATGAAATTTTGAGATAGATAGCCATATATGCAAAGTAATTGAAAATCCTGAATGCTCAGTAGTAACAAATTCTACACCTTCAGGGAGATTTCACTGATATTAACTTAGCAGTCCAAGTATGTTAGCTTTCATTATATATTCTTTGCTTTTATTACCAGGTTTTATTATTAGGTTGGTTACCACCAACCTAATTTTTAACATTTTTTACGTTTAAGCAATTTTATGAGTTTTTTTTTTTTAAACTTGCCTTGCTAATACTAGATCAGTGCTTGGTTACCACCAACCTAATTTTTAACATTTTTTACGTTTAAGCAATTTTATGAGGTTTTTTTTTAAAACTTGCCTTGCTAATACTAGATCAGTGTATTTTTAAACTCCTAGGAACCCACACACTGAAAAATTGTTAAAAAGAAGCTTAAGCATTACCAGAATTGGAGTAAGTAACTTTACTAACAGTGCCACCACTTGTCTTTTTGGGCAGAGACACTTAATGCTGATTTTATCTCCCCACTCAGGGACGTATTTCTGTCTTGGAAAATACGACTCCTTTCTTTGTTGAAGTCACTTTATATACTCATCTCACTCATGTTTCTATGATATACTGGATGAAGATGTAATCCAATGAGAATTCTTACACATGGTTAGGGTGTCCAGAAACTTGTGCTAAGAATTACTGTAGTCACTGCAGATGTATTCAGTATCTAGTTACTCCCATGAACTTGGAGAGGGTATTTCAAATGCTGTCTATCCATTTAAATTCCATATAAATATCCACATCCAGGTAGTTGCAGTAAGGAAATATTAATGACCTTTCCCAGTTTCAGTCTAGGTGATTTTGGTTATACAATTGGTAAGAGTAATCAAAATCAAATATCCATATCAGCCAGCTCTTGGAACCACTGCTACTCTGCATGAAGGCACATATGCTAAACAGAAAGAAAATATCCCTCCCACCCCCTCAAATAATTATGTCACCAGATTATGACCTGATTTAGGTAGACCATTATTTTCAACATGAACCTTTATGGGTTTATTATTGGACACCTTGATATAAGTAAAGAGTTTCTGTAACTACACAGAATAAAAGTTTTTAAATAATTAATGTGATTGCACAGGTGATCTTCAAAGAAAAAGAAACAAGTTAAAATATGTTGTATGAGCTTAATCAGTCACTACTTCTAAAGGACATTTTTGCAAGCTGCCATGCACACAGACACCAGGTCTTCCTCAGGTGCACTGGCATAGGTTGTGCCTTTATTTTGTTTGATTGAATTTTGCACATATCTAATGTCCAGAAATCTTGGAGGGAAAATATATGGCAATAATTTATAATCATTTAAAGAATTAAATAAAACAAAATTTAAATAATTTAATTTTTAATTACAAGCTCCAAAAATAAGATTGATACTTTATAACTAAAGTTCTAATTAAGATTAGTCTGTTTGGGGAATACATATTTTCATATAGATTGTAATTAACACTAAAATTAAGTGCTCTGTCTTTGCATAAGGTTTACAGTCCCTGACCTTGCTTGTACATCGTGTGTGTGTGTAGTGACTGGAGGCAGCTGGGGGCCGCTTACAGAGGGCATGACCCATTAATAAGTCCAGTAAAAACATGTGTTTCTCTAGATTTAACGTAGCAGGTCTCGCAGCAGCTCCGATCAGCCCCTTCCCTGCGGGTGCCTTCATGGCAGGGGCCAGCGGAGGGTGCTGGTGTTGCTGTTCTGCACACGAGCACGATGGAGGAAAAAAAAAAAAAAAAAAAAAAAAAAAAAAAAAACCAAACAAAAAAAAACACACACAAAAAAACCAACCAAAAAACCCCACCAAACCCGAGGGCAGCAGTCTGTGAAATGGTTAATAATGAGTGACAGTGAGCACCGTCTCCGACCTCAGGAGGTTGGGAGTGTGAGTGGAACAGCTTCGAGAAGGAGCCTGCAGCAGAGTGCTCCAAAAGGCTGGGTGGTAGGCTGTGGTTTGTCTCACTTTCAAAGTGTAAGGCTTGACATGCTGGCAGACACAGTCACTGGGCTCAGTCTTCATGGCAGGAGGTTCAGTTTGCCTGTTTCTATTTTGAAATATCTTTGTGGAACTGCACAACAGAGGTTTACATCCTTTAGCATAGAGTCATAGAACATGCTGAGTTGAAAGGGACCCATCAGGATCATCAAGTTCAACTCCTGGCCCTGTACAGGAAATCCCAATAATCACATCATATTCCCGAGAGTGTTGCTCAAATGCTTTATGGACTGTGTCAGACTGGTGCTCTGACCACTTCCTTGGGGATCCTTTTCCAGTGCCCAAACACCCTTTGGCTGAAAAAGTTTTTCCTGATATGTAACCTAAACCTTCCCTGACTCAGCTTCATCCTGTTTCCTTGGGTACTGTCGCTGATCACCAGAGTGAAGAGATTGGTCCCTGCCCCTCTGCTTTCCCTCATGAGAATGTTGAAGACCATCATGAGATTTCCACTCAGTCTCGTCCAGGCGTTGGCTGCACAGTGCATCCTTTGCAGTGAATTTTCACTTCCTCTGTGATACTGTAGATTCTTGGCTATTCACAAGCAATCTTGATGCCAGTTTTGAAAAGTCACCTTTTAGAGGCTGCAAAGTATGCAGTAATAAAAGTGTCTAGTGCTGTATCCCACTCGTGTTGAATAGCATATGCTTGAATCTTTACTGGTTGGCTTTCCAGGTAAGAGACCTCTGCCAGGGAAAAAGCTGCTGGAGCCCTCAGCTTCTGCTTTGCTGTAGCTGCAGTTTACCAGCTGTCCTAAAGTGAAAGCCTGCAACACCAAGTCTTTAACCCTCAATGACTAGAATCTGAAGACAGAAATAAACTGCTAGACATAGAAAGCAGGAGTCAAGCTCAACAAGGGATAACTTCTAAACACAGTGTTCAATCCTCTTAGCATCTGTGGTGTGCTGTTCTCTTTTTGGTTGCAACTAACTTCACCAGATTTTGCTCCTTGCACCAGTACCAGTGCCCTTCTTGTGCTGAGCAAGACAGGCCTGCCTATTCCTTTCATCTCTTCAAGCATCCTTCCTTATTACTGAGTGGCAGCATTTCTCTTTTATTTAAAACCAGCAGATGCTCATTTAGAGAATTCACTTGTCTTAGCTGAGCACTGCTGGAGGTAAGAGAGATCTTTGATCAAAGAGGAGATCCTTTTTTCCTGCAGAGAGCCAAGATCAGCAGGATCAGCAAACCCTGGCTTTCATTTGGTATGGCTGGGAGTGCACACATGGCTAGGCAGCAGTCCACCTCTTGCTTCTTTGCCTGCAGGACTGGATAGCCCAAGTTGTGCTCTTCTTCATTACCAGCCCCCTTCTTGAAGTCATTGGGACAATTTGCACAAACAAATGCTGGTTGTGACAGGCCTAATACTTGTATCCTCTGACTTAAAAGACTCCCATTCTCTTTTGCTTTCCCACCATCCTTCTCTCATTTGACTCCATTCTGAAATCCACATTTTCTTCTCCCTGGTTGTTCCTTCTTGATTGAAAAAAGACACCCTGAAAGTATGGAGTGAGATTACTGTGTCCAACAGGCTTCCTCTTAGTCCTGGGTCTGGCTCTGCCACAGCAGAAGCAGCTGAGAGCAGCTGGTTCAGATACTGGGACAGTAACTGAGCTGTTACTCTGCTGAAGCAGCACATGCAACAAATATTTATGTCTGGTACCAAGAGGGGAAAAGCATGTTCAGAGAAGATAGACTCTTTGGAAATGTCCAATGTCCTGACCTCAGGCAAGGCTGAGCAGTCTGGGGGGGATTTCTGTTTTAGTCAGTCTGAAAACTGTAATACACTGTAGGGAATGTTCAGAAATCTTAGAAACTAGAAAAATTATTACCATTAGTGAAATAATAAGGATAATGTACTTGTAAGTTCTTCTGTACATGTAACTTATATGCAGTTGAATATAAGCCCCAAGGTTGCAAATACTCAGGCAGAAATGTTCCCAAGTTTTGGAGAACACTTAGATGCATGAAACATGCAGGGCATGCTGATGAATATCTGGAAAGAAGCATCAGCAAGCAAGAAAATTAATTTAGCTTTGGTCATAGTTTGCCAAGCAAAATGGACATGATGCTCTGGAAACTTCAAATGTAAGGTTTTCTTCAGACAAGGATCATACTAAACAGAATTTCCTCTCTAACTGACCTACCTTTGTATATTGCTGTCCTTGAATAAGAGGGTTGTTTGAACAATAATGTCAGGGGTGGCTTTATGCTGTCGCATTATTTTTTTTTTGTTTTACTTTACTCTGAAGCATACATCCTGTTTTCAAAGTAATGGCACAATTTACAGAGAACAGAAACAGCTTGCAGATAATTCCTCCACCACACAGAATGAAAATTGTTGCATAAGTGTTTGTATCATTCCCTGTTACTAAGCCGTAATTCGTCAGTCATATCCTCCCCAATGGGGCTGAATTTGGCAGCCAGCAACAGAATCCTTTGTTACATATTCACTGTAAAAAACTTTACTCCTAATTTTTCTTTGGGATGTTTTTTTCATTAATTTTTGCCATGTGGTAGCCTACAGAGGATCTCAAGTTGGTGAGCTTTTTCTGAGGCTTGTGAGCTTTAGGAATAACTACACAACTTCACACTCTGCATATCCATGGAGAGGATAATTAGCTGAAATTGGATTTTCTTGAGTAGAAACCTGATCTGCCCCACTTTAGAAAGCTGCTTCTGATTGCTAGGAAATCTCCACTGAGTTTCCTATGTGTCTTCTAATTTGCCAGGTGGACAAACTGTATTTCTTTGATATCTGAATTTTTCTCTTTGGAAAGTGAAATAACAAAAAATGTTTCTTAAATCATCAGAAAAGGTTTTGAAATTTGGAAGATTGGAAATCTGACAAATGGAAAGTGATTTTTGAGAATATTGTGATTGTGATTTCACCGTGATTGCTTGGTGAAAATTGCTTTATGTTTTAGCACTGTTGCAGGGAATAAGCCAGAGGGAAAAAAAAATATTTTGGATAAGACAAAGTAATGTTCTGAGTACTTAAATAACTGAATTTTATTTACTAAATGGAAGAAGCAAAGAACAGCAGATTTCCCACAGAAAGAGCACAATGCTCTTGTTTGTTCAAATGTTGTGGCTCATTCTTCAGAAGTTATTCTTCCTCCTCAGATGAAAGAAAGGTTAATATCCACCAAAAAAATCAATAATTTTCTTAAAACTTCTGTCCAGTGTAGTACATTTTTTCCCCCAATTATTTGTTTTCAACAATTTAATCTCCAGTTTTTTCAGATTATACAAGCTGTGACAGATTGAATAGGGGTGTCTAAATGACAATTTTGTGTTGTATTTAATGGCTCTAAAGATGGATGTGTTGCTGGATAGGATGGGTATTTTAAGGGACAAATGCATTAAATACATAAAATCAATAAATAACAAGTATTATATATTCCAAGATAAAATAGAGAATTAAGGACCAGACATCGTTTTGTTTTGGATAATACCTTTTCTTTCCTAACTTATTTCCTCAAGTTTAGTGGCCCTACTTGTAAATAAATATAACTCATGCTGGCAGAACTGTGCAACTGAGTAATTTTGAAAGATCTGTGCTGCTGGAAAACATTCAAATGTTTTTCATGCAGGAAGTTTGAGGGAATCATAAAAGATTTACAATTAAAGGGAAACAGACATGAGTTTCTCTGAGAAAGAACTCAAGGAATGAGAACTGGTCAATGAGCCATAAAGAGGGTCAGCCCTAAGATTCCATAAGGTTAATAAAAACACTCTTCTGAAAAAAGATAAATAAGGAAAGATACAGATAACCAGTACAGTGTTAAAGACACTTGTGGGGAAAAGGTATAGGAGGAGGATGTTAACAGTGGGTTCAGAGAGCTCAAGGGAGAGAAGACAGGACAGGTGAGGTCATCTGGTTGGAGGTCCAGTAGCGACTGCAGAGCAAAAACCAGTAATTACCTGAAAAGGCTTTGGTAACTTTTCATTTGCTTGTGCAGCTTTTAAGTTGTAACAGTCTTGCTATCTCTCCCCCTTGGCAAGCTTAGAAACCTGCTTCTGGTTGCAGGTACCCAGGTACCTCTGTATTCCTAAATGACAGATGGCCAAGGATCTCCCTCCTGCACTGAACTCCTGAATATCCAAGCTGCCCAAGTGCTAGCTGATCTGCCCGTTCCAAAAGGCTCTTTCCATGACAAAACACAGGGTGGTCTGGCAACAGTTTGCTCCAAGGACCACACTCAAAAGGCAAACACAAGTCACGACCAGACTTGGTTCTTGCCCTTTCTCATCCTCCAGAGCTAGCTCAAAGGGTTTGCAACTTCAAATACCTGCACATTCCCTCGTGTTGCAGACTTTGGTATCTGACACGCCCTTAGTTTTGTGCTTTAACACTGCTGGTCTCTGTAATGGTTCATTTTATTTCAGACACACTGAACAGGAGTAGGAAAGAGGGAGAAGAATGAAAAAAGACATGTCATAGGGCGACAGGAGCCCAGCAGAGATTGAGGGCTAAATGCTTTGCAGGGTGGACACTCCAGTGAGGTTTGGGGTTAGTAGTTTGGACACAATCCAGCCCTTGCTAATTGGCCTCAGGGAGCACCCTCTGTCCCTCTCTCAGCTGGGAGCGTAGACTACACAAGAAGTTTGTTTCCAGCAACCTCTTGTAGAAAAGACTTTTCGTGCTCTCATCCTGTCACTTCTCCAAATAAGTTATTGCACCAATTCCAGGGTTTGCAAATCATGCCTATTTTTTTCCCCAGGGGCAATGTAATTGTTTCTGTGCTGAGTGACTTTAGTGCAGATCTCTGTGTTTTATTGTTGCTCTGTGGCAAAAATATAGTGTCACATCCGAGTCTAAAACACTAAATTCTGTTTGGGAAGAAGTGAGTGGGCCATTGCTTGTGCTAGTCTGCAGATTCCAAGTGAAGTGAACAGCAGTATAAGTCCTTGGGTCAGAAAGAATAAATAGCTGTAATTCATGGAATTACT